TCAAGATTTGGATGCACTCTTGGTCAGACCAGTCGTGCAAAACCCACTGCATGCAGCAAGCAAATATAACAATCTGAATCATTAATTCATCGATATATATATTTATAGTTAAATTGAGAGTCTAAGTGCACAAATTAAATACCATGAAAAAAGCAGCATCAGCCTTTGGAACACTCAGAAACATGTCACCTGCCACAAGTTCGACGCCATCGCACTTAGAGGCCTCGGCAATGACATGAGGGAGATCATAATTGATGCATCGAATCCAAGGGCAAGCCTTGGCCAGGATGCTCATGGCGGTGCCATTACCACCACCCACATCAACCAAGGACTTTACACCATCAAATGCCTCGCTGCAACTTTCAATGACGGTAGGCATAACAAGCTTAGCATCACATGCCATAGCCTCATTGATGAGGTTGCTGTGGTCGAGATGTGCCTCAGCATAGCGCCACACGTCCTCACCATGAGCCTTTGCGAATGAGGGATTGCCATTGACCAAGACACGAGCACTTAGACTGTGCCAAGGTGCCAACATTACAGGATTACTCTCCAGCAAAAGCATACCAGCCATGCTATGTTGACCGTTTCTCATCAAACGCCGAGACAAAGGTGTTTGAGAATACCCCGTGGGTGTCACTTTGAATATCTTTCGGTGCACTAGGAAGCGCATGATGCGGTTCAGAAGTAAAGAATCACAGGCTAGAGTTGATGATAACTCCTCTAGTGTCATGGGACTTGCATGCTTTTCTATGGCTTCGGCTATGCCAAGCTCAATCGCACATTTCACAACTGCAAGTTCCACAAACCCAAATATGTACTTCCAGATATCTATTTGGGCTTGTGCTTCTTCTAATTCCTCTTCCTTCTCCCACCTTGACATTGCCTCTCTTTCTATTTCTCCCATCTCTCTCTTACTAACCTTGAAACTTGCAGACCTTCATTTATAGACGCTAGAAATTAACGCATAAACGGCGACTCCTTCCACTTGAATTATAAAACTGATGCACCGATACTATTATTTTAATTTTAAAGCACATAGTATATCATACATGTAAGATATGTATCAATATTTATGTAATATAATAAATGTATATTTATAGTTTTGATGAAAATTTATAAATATTAAATATATAATTGTTATTTTATAAAACCAAGTTAAAAATATATTTATTATAAATTATTAAAAATAAATAATTTATACATTATTTTATTATAAATATAAATAATATTATTAATTTCATTTTTTTTCTTAAAATTATTGATATAAAAGATAATTTTCATTTTATCAAAAATCAATATTTCTATATTTTTACATTAAATATGTATATATATATTATTTAGTAATAATGAACATTTTATAATTTTTTAAAAATTTGAATAATTTATTGATATATATTATCAATAAATATCGGTAGAATATTTGAAAGTATTAAAATTAAATAAAAAATTTATAATATTTTTAAAAATTAAATATCGGTAAAATATCTTTAAATATCATATTAAATACGTATCAAATATAGATTAATAAAACAAATTGAAGTGTCGGATATTCATGGTATAACTTATAATATATCATACCCACGCCTTATATTACTTCTCGAAATTCAAAATCCAAATTATTCTGCAAAAGATTATATCCTGTCACGAGGCTTGTCTGTATTTTGATCAAACGTCATATACAATTGTATCATGGAGAGGTTATAATATGTACATATTAAAAAAATTCCATATCACAATTCACATGTTTATGTAAAATTATGCACGACTAGAACATGGGAGCTTCTACTGCTCATGACATTTACTTTTTGTTACTTTATTAATTATTAGGATCAACACGGCTTATTTTATCGTCAAAAGAAAGATATTTTTTTATATATTGAATTACAATTCAACGCATTGTTATTCTTTTTAAATATTTTATTTAGAAATATAACGAATAAAATTAAATATTACAGAATATTATACATATTTGTTAATTTTTGTTAATTATTGTTATTTCTTATCAATAATTATATATTGAGGTGAGTTCGAATTAATTGTTGACAAAACTCTGATAATTAAGAAATTTTGTGAGTTTTAGACTTTTAGAAAAAATTTTTGGATAGAAATCTAATTTCATTATGAAGGATAAAATATATAAGATTTTTTTTTAAAACTTAAGCTTTATAAATTTATTTCTTAAGAATTTTCAGTGAAATTGTATCTTTGTAAACTTAGGTGGGGAGGGATTGGGCTATTTGTAATCTTTCTTATTTTTACCAAAAAAAAAAAGTGAAACTCTTAATTCAAGAATACTAAAAGTGATTCTTCCTTATTTTTTCTCATGACCGAGCAACATATTTCCTTCTTGTTGATATATATTGATGACATAATTATAACAAGTAGCAACATGAGCTTTCTTGTGCCATTCATTAAACAATTAAATGTTATGTTTGCCCTTAAGGATCTTGGAAATTTGCACTATTTCCTTAGGGTAGAAGTGTGCATAGATACTGTACCGTCTCGGTCGGAACCCGATCTGATATCCTTTACAGGTTTTGATCCGATGATTCTTGAATATGGGTCTTCTCGGTCGGACCGCGATCTCACCCACCCCCTGGACGAGCTCGGCCAGGGTGTACTCGGCCATGGTGAGATCGGCCAGGGTGTGCTCGACCATGGTGAGATCGGCCAGGGTGTGCTCGGCCATGGTGAGATCGACCAGGGTATGCTCGGCTTAGGAGAGCTCGGCCAGGGTGTGGTCGGCCAAAGTCCGAGTGGGTCTCACCCCTTGGACTGGTCCGAGAATCAAGGATGAAAAGCCTATCTTTGATAATCAAATATTCCCAAGGAAAACCGTTATGGAAATCCTCGCACTCACAAGGCCCAGGAGGCCCATGAACAGAAAGTATAAAACCTAAAACCCTAGAGCTAACACGGCAGATTACACTTTTGAATGCTCTGGCTTTGATGCTTGACCTAGGCACAAACCCTAGTCCATCCTTTGGTCGGAACAGATACATAGGTTTATATCTCAAACAAACTAAATATATCATTGATCTTCTAAAGAATTTCAATATGGAGAATGCCTCATCTTGAACTACTCCTATATATGGTGACAGACAAATCTTTATCTAAAGAAGTTGAACCAATAAAGAACCCAATAGTTTATTGAAGCACAATTTGAGCATTGCAATATTTAACAAACACCAGACTCGACATTTCCTACTCAGTAAACCAACTTAGTCAATATATGTAGGCCCCTACTACATTGCATTAGCAATGCTTCAAACACACAACATATAATTCCTTTCACAAAGACAATAGACTCATAATAAAATTAAACAACACCAATCTACATCAAAAGATATAATTCATATCAAACACTAAATCATACAAAAACCCATCAATTTAACACTTAACAAATGTCAATTAATCATCTCAAATCCATGAAAATCACAACAATTATCACCATATATACCACAACATGAATCATATAATCTCAATTAATTCATCAAACACATTCAATTACACATTCGAAAAAGGCTTATGGCTTATACATGCCTATAGATTCGACACCTCTTTCTTGTTACCTCAGTGATGATTCAATCGTTACTTTGAACTTTCTTCAATGGCCTCCTTTAAGTTCTCCTTTTACAGGCGCTCTTAGGGTTCATAATGACACGAAAGGAAAATCTAGCCCTTATTTTTTTTTTCAATAAGCCTTCAAGTTGGGCTAAAAAAATAATCCAACCTAAAACTCCCCTCCCAACGCACAACCCTTTTTCTTTTATTTTATTTAATAAAAATAATTATTTATATTTATAAATTCAATTAATTAAATAAATAAATAATATAATATAATTTTGTTATTTATTTTATTTCTAAAACTTTGGATGTTACGCTCTATACCCAGTGGAAATTGGTCAAGGACCTTTTTGTGGCACTCTCCACACCCAGCATGAAAATTCACACTTGACTCGTTAAACGTGCACTTGATGCTACAACAGATTCTTTACTTCACATAATCGTAAACCTTGCAAATTAGGGTCTCCAAATCCACCTTATTTTTTAATTATTCAATTAAGCAACAAAACATGTCTAATTCTACACATACAACATATATTCATCATTAAATCACTCAGGTTCATTCAATTGCACAAGAACTCCCAAATCATTAGGCAACCTTAATCCTCAAGATACAACACATGACATATAATGGATTTACATCACAAGTCATGAAATTCACAACATTACATATTCATACAACAATGATCAATTCAATTTGACCTCAATCTAGTTAAACACATACAATTCATCATTCTAGAAAGGCTTAGGGGTCGTTTCACTGTCCGTACCCACTATATGTTCCCATAGTGAAATATTCTCACTCCCTCTTTTACTTTAGGTGATGATTTGTGAGGCATAGACACGCTCCTTCGCTACCTTCATAGTCATTAGCTACTATTCGTGCTCTTTAAGGTTCTCCTATATAGTTTGCAAACAATCTTAGAGTTCAAAATTGACACACAAAATTGACTTAACACTCTTCTTATTTTAATGAGACTTTGGATTAGACTCAAGAGTCCAACCCAAAGACTCCTCTCTCACCTACCACATACTCTTATTTTATTTATAAAAAAAAATCATTTATTTATATTATAAATTTAATAATTAAATAATTTAGTTAAGCCTATAATATTGATATCATTTAAACAATTTTATTTTATTTATTTATGAATATTACAACTTATATATTTAATGTATATATATATACATGTATATATATATAGTATATTTAATATAAAAAGAATTTATAGTAATATATCATTAGTGTAAAAAAAATTATACAATTAGTCTATTAAAAATTATGATTTATATAATTTTTTAAAATAAATTTATATGATTTATAAGATAATTATCATAAAAATTGATAAATTTATTATTTATGATAAATAATTATGTAAATTTATTAATAATATGAGAGTATTTTCTTTTGTGTTTGTACTAGTGTCATCTTAGACTAATCTGATTTGGTCGAGAGGTAAGTAAAATCTGGTTAAGAATTGTTTCAGTCAAAGATTGAACTCGAGCACTATCCGAACATTTTAAGCTTACGTTTAACACATTAATCACTTGTATTTAAGTCCTTGGTTATGAAAGCATATTTATAAATTGATTTGAATATTTACTACTCTCTTCATTTTTTTTACGTTTAAAGTTAAGTACAAAAATTAAGAAAATGATCGATATTTTAGTTTTTCAAAATATTTATTACTTATCTTTCTATTATACCATTTAAGTGATTGAAAAAGAAATAAGTATATTAAAAAAATAAATAAACACATAATCCAATTTTATAAGAGTGATAATAAAAAAAATAATATTAAAACGATTATGAATAAAAATTGCACAGAATATAAAATTTTTAAAAAAATATTATTCAAATATTTTTGGTGAATGGACATGGAGTTTGGTGCAATTATTTTACCACCACTCACGACAACCCAAATCTTGGAGTCCCGACAGAGATCAGCTCTCTTTAAATAAAATAATAATTTTTTTTTTTATATATATATCCAATCATGCAGTAGCTTGACATTCCCCATGTACCACGTGAAAAAAGGAAATATGTTAAGTAAAGTTCTGTAAGGGTTGTCTGGGTTCTATAATTAAAGTAAAATGTGTATAAATATATATTAATAAAATTTATATTAAATTAAAAAAAAATGTATTAAGGTAAAATTTCAACTCGACCGTATTTAACTAAAGAACCGTATATCAAAGTTTGATGAAAAGAAATAATTAGGGATAGATGGCTGCCGCGCATGAATTCTTATAATCTGAACTCATTTTACGTTTTATAGTAAAACACCGTTAAACATTTGTTTTAATCTATACCAATAAGTAATAATAAAGAGGATTATCGGTACACAATTTTTATATCTATTTTATTTTCGGTAATTATTAAAAATCTGTCGTGAATA